CCCCCCCACACCCCTGAATGTTAATGTTTTATTCAAAGTTGTCTCTGCATGTTTGTGCACTGCTCTCTGTGTCTATGTGCAAATATGTAGAACTTGTGTATGTATGTCTCATGTTCCGTGTTCCTCTTACACTGTTGCACCCTAATTTCAATAAATGCATACATATACAGACTCATGCTTGAGGTTGTACGAGATCATTTTAAAGCCAAAAGCTGGATGCAGTTCTACTCCCAGTGGAAGTCTATGGGAGGTACCTTTTGGACCCTGTCTTATTTTGGAAGTGTGCATTTAACCAAAAAAGCCACCATGTGTTTTTTTTTTTACTCTAAAAAGTGGAAAATATGTTTTCAAGGAAAAAGGTAGGGCTGTGCTTCAGATGTGAGCTCATGAATGGGCTCCACTCTTCGGAGAACAAGAAATAACATACACAACAATTTAAGAAGCTCCTGGACTCTAAACTCCAACAGAGCTGTGTACTTTACAAACTCATCCACACACTTTCACTGTTTACTCCACTAATGAAAGATGCTGTAGACAAGCAGACACACACGTGCAGTGAGTTCACACCACTGATGTATAAACACATGGTAACTGCACTCTGTATTGTAAAGAATAATATAAAACACGTGATCAATTTTTGTGGTTTTGTGTAAAGCCTAAGCTAAGCCTCTTACGAGTTAGCCCTTCACTGCACACTTGCTTTCTTTCTAATAAACCAAGAGGCCAGGAGTGGCGTTCCACAGAAGCAGGCTCTCTCAGTTTAGCTGGACAACTTAAAGGAGTAGCTTGACCAAACATGCTCATGTTACAAACAGTGAATGGAGGTTAGTAGCCACCGATTAGCATGTCATTTTCATAATGCTAACTAGAAGTTGTTTGTCCTCACTGTTAGCAACGTTCTGAACTTTATATTTAAGTTCAAAGTTTGAGGCATGTCCAGTAGGAATGAATTTGGACAATCTTACCTTTTGGCTTAGGCCAGTCTAACTATAATACCCTATAATACTCTTCTTATTCCTAAGCACTGCAGTGCTCAGATTCTCAGCCACTTTGGCCCTGGACTAGATCATCACAAATGCTCAAAAAGGTCTACAAAATAAGTACTATGGTACATATATACACTATGTAGTGCATATATGTACCATCCACTATGGTGGATGGTACAAATATACACTATAATCCAAAAGTCTGGAATCACTGTTCAAAAGTTTGAAACATTTTCAACAATATACCCCAGTTTGATTTTATATAAATGAATAAAATTAATTACGTATTGTAGTCCTGTGCAGATGCATAGCTATCAAATAATTATTAGACCACAATGCTGTAAAATGTAAACAAAAATATGATGAACGTAGAAGATTTCTTAAATAACCAAGAAAACTGTACAACACTGAGACTGAAGCTTGAAAATGACTGAAAACTAATATCCAGAATTCATCATAATTCCAAAGTGGTGATTAAATCTCAGGGCCAGATAACTTACTTAGGTGACGTAATTACCCAGAGGAAAGAAATATTCTAAATGAGATCACCTTCTGATCTCAGGTTCTTCTCCTAGACACAAATCGGAGTGAAACTGAAGCCATTTTCTCCTGATTCTGAAATTTGGCTCCTGAGGAATAAAATTCAGATTTTCTCACTTTGATCAAAATGTTGTCACACAAGTGGCTTAACTCTTCTGACTCGTCTCACCCCAGCCTCAGCTTAAAATCTCCATAATAAGCATGTAAGATCTTCCATAGTAAGATCTCATTGTTTTCTTATACAGCTCTATTCTATATTACAAAACTCTCTCAGCAGTCCATCAGTGTAGAAGGAGAACTCACGCTTTTCCCCTTCATCACCAGAACTTCTCACAGTAAAATGCTGATGTTGATCTCCTCTTTTCTCCTGAGGGGAGTTTACGAGGAATAATTCAGAAATCAGTGACCTTCATTAATATAATATTGAGATCTGCTTTATTTCTCTGAGACAATCTTGATTTTTTTTTCCTCTGGCAAGTGGATCCAAACCTCCAGACTTCCACACAATCCCACCTGTTCCCATCATCTGGGCTGAAGCTCTTTGAAATTAAATAAAAGTAAACAACCTGCAACACTGAGATAGAGACAAAAAGCACGTCAAGACGGTTAACATCGTGTGGTCATTAACTCACACATAGGACGCATATGAGAGGCACCAGTTAGCATGTAGTCCACAGATCACCAGGTAGACACACAGCAGCAGTCTGTGTGAAACCACATGGAGGTTAGATTTGAATGTATTTTCCATTATTGGCAACATTATTCTGTGAATGGTAACTCCCAGGGCCTACAGGGTTAAATCAGATACAGCTTGATCTGGTGATCTCTGAAAAAAATGAAAGCGAACAACTGGCAGAACATGTTTGTGTCATTTGTGCTGCATAACCCCAAGCAGATTAATCTGGGCTGAGGAGTAAAGTTCTGCCTGTATGTATGTAGAGGTTTACAGGGTGACGTGCAGCAGCAGAAGAGCCTTGTGTTATAGTTTATTTTTTCTACTGACTGATTTTAACACAGAACTCCAGCACAGCTTTAAAGTGTGCTAAATACACATTAATGCAATTTAACCTTTTAATTCACAAAATATTTGATATCATATCTGGTAGCATAACCAAGTGTTTCCCATAGCCTTAGATGAAGGTCAGATTTGTAGGTCCCAAAAGGTTTTTTAATGGGATTTAGGTCTGGCCGTTTCAGAACAGTGCACAGTTTTGTCTTAAAAATCCCTTGTAGTTTTTTTTCCTTTTCCCACCAGGATATTTCACTCCAAAGTGGCTTGTTATTCCCCTGATATTATGACATGTTTGTTTTCCAATGTTTTCTGGAAGCAGATGGTGTCTTTTATTATTTTTCTGCATGTGCTTGTGTGTCAATGTGCTTGTGGGGTAAATTAACTGTTATGGGACCAAATAACATATTCTGCTATTACAAACCCCATTTCTGGAAAAGCTGGGACATTTTGCAAAATGTAGCAAAAAACAAGAATCTGTAATTTGTTCACTCTCTTGAACCTTTACTTAACTGACAAATGTAGAAAGAAATGACTCTGAATTTGATTGTATTTTGTAAATATAACCAAATTTTGAATTTGATGCCTGCAACACACTCAAAAAACACTGGGACGTGGCAAAATAAGAGTGAAAAGTTCACTGAATATTAGTTAAGTTACACTGTTTCCACAATAACAAAGCTCTGGCTTTGCAAACAAAGATGGGTCATAGCTCACAACTTCGTGCCAAATCTTGTGAGTGAATTATCAAATATTTCAAAATGGATATTTGCCAACACAAGATTACAAAGAATTTAGGTCTTTCACAAGATTCAGAGAATCGGGAGAAATCCCAGTGCGTGTAAGGCAAGGCCAGAAACCACTGCTGAATGTGCAAAACCTTCAAGCCCTCAGACGGCACTGCATCAGGAACTGTCACAATACTGTGTTAAATACAGTTACATGAACTCGGGAGTACTTCAGAAAACTCAGCAAGGGTGACTTGCAGTACCAGTGAGCATATTGGGATTTTAGAGAGACATATGCTGCCATCAGGACGATGCCTTTTTTATGGGAAGCACATGATTTTTCCAGCAAGGCAACAGCAGGCCTCATTCTGCATGTGCTATATCAGTGTGGCTTCATAAACACAGAGTGTATGTGCTTGACTGGCCTGCCTGCAGTCCAGATCTGTCTCCTACTGAAAATTATCATGAAGAGGAGAATCAGACAATGATGACCACAGACTGCTGAGCAGCTGAAGTCTTGTATCAAACAAGAATGGGCAAAAATTCCACTTTGAAAACTAACAGTTAGCATCCTCAGTTCCCAAACGATTAAAAAGTGTAATTAAATGAAAAGGTGATGTAACACAGGGAAACATGCCTCTGTGTTCGCAAGCAGCATATTCAAAATTTGTTTATTTTTACAAAATACAATCAAGTTGGTCAGGCAAAACAATAAAAGCCATTTCTTTGCATTTGTGTGAGTTGAATAAAGGTTCAAGACAATGAAATAATCACAGATTCTTGTTTTTACTGCATTCATATTACAAAACTTTTTCAGAAATGGGGTTTGTAATTTGTCTTTTCAGTCCGTTTTAAGGAGATGATGTGATATTACAGAACAATAACAGACACTAATAAACAAAACCAGGAGGCCACTTGAGAAGGAGAGAAAAATGCTGAATGGGTTCTGTTCTGCTCTGTAAGTGTTCATATCAGTCTGCTACTGGTTTTGATCTTTATTGCTCTTGATTATAATTAGCCAAATTGCTATGGAAACATTTAATTAGTTACCTTGTCAACAGACATGGAAACAAGCTCTACTGTAACCGCCCACTGCTTTCACTCATAAGAAGTCCACCCTGCAGTTTTAAAAGTCATTGTCAGTAAACCTGACTGCACAATTCCTGACGGTGTTAGAAGTCTGAGGGCTTCCTGAAATAGAGAATGTACGGAGCCCTGCCGGTGTCATCCTGTATAAATAAAAATAATGCGCGGCCACGCCTTATTAACACAAGGGAACGAGATCCTAATGCGTGGCCACGACTTAGTAAGGCGCGGGAACGAGATCCCAACTTACAAAGTCATGGCCATGCATTAGGATCTCGTTCCCACGCCTTACTACGCGGTGGCCGCGCATTAGGATCTCGTTCCCACGACTTAATCATCTCATTCCCACGCCTTACTAATAATGCCACGCATTATTTTGATTTACACAGGATGTCACCAGCGGGGCTCCGTAAGAGGGGCTCCGTACAATGTCTTAAATTCATGAGGGAATCGTGGGAGTCAGACTACGGGCTCCAGACCGACTGACCATTATAATAACTTAAAACGAGCGTTACTGAATAAACCGGGATACAGGCACCGTTTAAAAGCCCTACTCGAGTACAGCGCCGAGCGAGAGCGCTGCTCTGTGAGCTGTGGCTCGGAGTAAGGCGGGGAGGGGGGGCTGCGGAGGGGGGAGTAATCTCGGATTACCTGCGATTCCACGTCCACAGCGGGCTCCTGCTGCCTCATGTAGAAGAAGTCCGGTCTCCTGCCGTTGGCGAGCGGCGACGGGGTGTCCACTCTGTTCAGCATGCCCTTCTCGATGAGCAGCAGCAGGCCGCCGGACGCCACGATCACGGCGAAAGTGAGCACGGAGGGCAGAACGGCCGAGTGTCGACCGGAGCTCAGCATCGAGCGGCTCCGAGTCACGCTAACCCGCTTCAGCCCGCTCTCCGGCTTCCGAGGCGGCATGGCGAAGCCGAGTCCCGTCCTCCGTCTTGAGGTTTTCTTTTCTGGTTTCTTTGTTCTCTCCACGAAAAGAAGGCGGCCGGACTATCGCATACCCATTCCGTCTCTCGTCCGCACAAGTTTTCAGCTCTTCCAAAAAACTATTTGGGAGCTGTGTATCATGGGAAATGTAGTTGTATCGCAACTGGGGGGGCGGAGAAAGAAGCAGGGTAGAAGCCGGGGGGTTGATGAGATGACGTTGAGTTAGAGCAGAAAGAACAGTCAGCTCCCATTGGCTTTCACACCTGATCAATCTCTATGTTATTATTAGGTAATAAAAACATTTCATCTGTCAGATTCAAATCAACAGGACAAGTCAGGGCTGGGTCTCCCAAAAGCATCTTAGCACTAAGAGGATCCTTAAATGGAACAGCGAGTATCACAGTGAAAACTTTATAACAGCTGAGACGATCTTAACATTATACACTGATCATCCATAACATTAAAACTACCTCCTTGTTTTTACACTTATGGTCCATTTTATCAGCTCCACTTAATAGTTCTACAATTACAGACTGTAGTCCATCTGTTTCTCTGTATACTTTGTTGTTCCCCTTTCACCCTGTTCTTCAATGGTTAGGCCCTCCACAGGACCACCACAGAGCAGGTGTTAGATACAGGATATGGTGATATCCTGCGAGAATGATCCACCACACAAATAGTACCTACTCTGTGATGGTCCTGACCATTAAAGAACAGGGGCTAACAAAGTATTCAGAGAAACAGATGGACTACAGTCTAACTGGAAGACTACCAAGTGCTTCTGTATGGTAAGTGGAGCTGATAATATGGACATTGAGTGTGGATACAAGCAGGTGGTTTTAATGTTATGGCTGATTGGTGTAGATCCTTTTGGGAAACTGGACTTTGATATATAACTGCATACTGTAAATAAAAACAGTTGACAAGATGAGGAGAACATATGAAGTTTTTATTATTTTATTTTACATTTGGCATTGGTTACTCATTACAAGTGCAAGTCACCTGAGAGTGAAAGCGTGTTATAGCGTGACTTTACACAAACGATTAATAAGTTGAGTCATTGTAACGTGAAATTCATTACCAGTGTACTTTTCAAGTAGTGTCACCATTCTGATGCTGTAATAAGACAAAAAAAACAACAAAAAAAAGACAGTAATCTTGTACAGAATTTCCAAAAAGTCAATAATCCCAGCCTTCTTAATGCTATTTTGCTGCAAATTCACTAAGGGTGGAATTGGGTGAACCAGGTATGCTTGTGGTTCTTAAACCGGTCCTCAGGGCATCCCTGATGATCCACAATCTGTTGGTGCGGGTTGGGTGGGAACAAAAATGTAAACCCTCTGGCAGTGGGGGGAAACTGACAGCCAGTTTGTGGTGATTTCCCTGCTTTAAAACACCAACTAAACCTTTTAGGTAGCTGTTTGAGTAGGAAAATCACCAAACTTTGCTGGAATCCGGCCCTACAGGATCAGAGTTCCCTCACTGTGCTCAAGTCTCTAGTGTTTCTTAAGCAGTGATGTTTTTGATGAGCATTAACAACCAAAGAATTTGAATTGATATATGAAAATCATTTTACTGTACACATACTCACAACTGCATATCCCCTTATAACGACAAACTCTTCTCTCAGCACTCACACGCACCTCTTCCGTACTGTCTGTGATCCGGACACACATTCTCTCTTTTTCCAGTTCTAGTGGGACTGAGCGATACTGGAGAAGTACTCCAGCATGTCCTGAATTGTGAAGTCCATTGTGATGCCTGAGCCAGGATAGCAGCGGTTTATCAGCCCCTCAAAGTGCTTGTACTGCCGGATGAACTCATCCTGCATGGAGTGCCACACCACCTAGTGGACAGCAGGAATTACAATCATTTATATAATTTATTTACACTTTCAGTGTGTGTTCTGTGGATATAGTCCCTGATATTGAACACAGTTGGCATGCAAGAGACTCTCTTCTCTACTCTGTACACCAAAGCTACACCCTGATTAGAATAATGTGATTCTACAATTAGCCAGTGCACCATGGTAATTAGAGAGACCATGGATCAAGATTATGACGTTAGGGAATATGGAAAACATCTGTTTTTCTCACCTGTAGAAGACTCTCTTCCTCACATAGGTGCTTGTCCACCTTCTTGTAGAGGTTGTCCAGGCCTTTCTTCACCTCTTTTCCAGGGTATTCTTTGATCACCTTTCTCAGCTCCTGTTTGTTGAAGGCCAACTGGTAGCTCACCTCCTCTTCCCGCACACCCTGAGCCACTCGTGCTTCGACCCCCTCGAAGAAGTGCTGCAGGACACACGCACACATGATGAAGAACGTTGAAAATGAAAGTGCAGTACATTTAATAACTGGACATCTAAAAATCCTTTTTACTAGACCTTGCTCCAAATATTAGATGTTTTTTGTTAAATGCCAAATCACTTAAAAATAATGAGGTGTGTTAGCTTTATACACTGCTGGTAGTCAAAAATAACTGCTCAGATGCACAGAGGTACAATGGCCACAGAAATATCTCTTTCAAAAGGCATCTGGGGCGCTTATTATCATAACAGTTTGAGTAATTTCTTTACAGACTTCTGCAAGTTTGCATCCAAAATGCCTTTGTATGCCTTCAAGACTTCATCAATAAACATAATCTCAGCGACACGTTTCCACTGCTGTGCTGGTACTGGCGCTGTATAGCACCTTATGAGCAGTCGGGTTAGAATCCTTCTCCAGGCTTTCTCTACGCAAATAATCTACTATCTGTTTGCCATTGTCCAAAAACTGTTTGTCACTGAAACAAATATGAAGTAACTTCAAGCTGTTCACCACTTCACCACCAGTTTACCACTGGTCAAAGTGTCTAAATACTTTTAGGGCCACTGTACATGTGAAGGGATCCATCTCTTCTGTTTACTTAAAGGAGAAAAATCGCATTACAAACATCTTTGGCTATCTCTAGAAACTGCAAGATAACATGAAGTTCATGGGGTGAGGGAGTGGTTTGAGGAGGAGGAGGAGGAGGAAATTCATATCCCGCTGGGAATCTGAGAATATGCTGGCAAAAGCATGGAGGAAAAACTGATTTAATCACTATGGATTTTTTGTAGACAGCACTGAGAAGTGTATAGCAGTATGATAGGATGATAAAGTGGCAGTCATCAAAGCTGGAGGCAAACCTGAAAAATATATTTATATTTATATATGTTTGCTGTACTTCTTTAGTGTACATTAGTGATCATTACAAAAAGTGATGGTTGAGAAATTATTTTACAAACAATTCTAAATAAACTTTTCTTTCCTTGCATTGATTTCAGTTACTTTGTTTTTGAGTGCAGTTTCTTATAATGCTATTGATGGCATCCTCAGAGGATCCTTACATTGAGCTTTTCTAGCGGTTGTCCCAGTGAGTTGATGACGTAAGACTGCAGATGGTCTGTGTATTTGTGCTTGGCCTCCTTTCTCTCCGCCTCCAGGCACGAGATCTTGAGGCGCGACAGAGTGGAGAAGATATGATGGAAATTCTCCATCATCACCACATCACGTGGAGTCTTCTGACTCTCATTGGCCACTTTCTCCACTGCTCCCATCCAAACAGACAGACAGACACCAGTTGGCATTCAAACAAAAGAAAGCAGCCAAATATTTATCTGATTGAACTACCGTCATACTGTGGAATGTGCTTTCACTGATTATTGTGCGCTAAAAACAATGTAAATCACTTGAAGGTCACTGCTTTTTAATATTTTTCTTCTATTAGAATCAAACTGAAGCGTAGTCTTGTTGAGCCAGATGTGATCTCATAACAAGTACGACAACCACAAGAAATTCTGGGCTAATTGTGGGTGGCGATGTAGACTTATTAGGCTGGAAACAAAAATTGCAATTTCCAAAACAATGCAATGCTTTGTGAAGGTGGAACTTAAAGTAGAGGGCGATAATGCGCTCGTCAGCACTGTGTGACTGACGACGAGTCTGTTGTTAGCGCATAGATGTAACGAACGTTAAACAGTAAAAAATAAACATTACCTCTTAAAAAGGAATTAATTATCAAAATTATCAATTACTTCGGAAGTTTAAAGAAATTTGGGGTTGGGTTTTAGATGGGTGTACCCAAAGAAATTACCCTCTTGGACCCCCTGAATGTCTCAAAATCAAAAATTCTAGAGGGACCTTGAAAATAAACTTATTATGACATTATGCTGTCTGTTAGGGAAAAACAGACATTCTACTATAAATTCAGGGAAAGCTTCTTGTTTAGCAGGCTTCTCCCAAGAAACAGTGAGCTTCTGCCTTTGGCATTCTATACTAATTAACAATGCAGCACTGGTCTGCTTCAGTGTGGCACTGTAGCAAACTGGTTCACTCAGTTTGGCCTTTAGTTGGTTCTTTACAGCCTAGCAACTGTAACTATGTCCAGGATGTCTCTGAAAAACTTTACCATATGACACAGCATGATTACAAATATTTATAAAGTTAGAAAGAGTCAATTGTTGTTTATTTCTCATATTGAACACAAAAAAGGCGATGGTGAGTGAGTCAGCCAGCCACTGCTGGGACCCCCTGAATACCACTGGGTATTTTGCACACTGGGTGTACCCTTGTTTAAGGTGGATTTCATCACAATCCAACACCAACAGTTTAACAAGTTGGCCTCAGAAGTGTATTCTCAGTGACGGTGAAGTTGAGCTGCAGATACAGAGCTGTATTTTTTGGGGCAGTCATGGGCTGGAGGTTAGGGAACCAGCATTGTGACCAGAAGGTCGCCAGTTGGATCCCCTTAGACAACAGTATGTGACTGAGGTGCCCCTGAGCAAGGCACCTAACCTCCAACTGCTCTATGGGCGCCATGGATAGGGCTGCCCACTGCTCCGGGCAAGTGTGTGCTCACCTAGTGTGTGTTCACTAGTGTGTATGTGGTGTTTTACTGCACGGGTGGGTTAGAATGCAGAGGTGAAATTTTTCCTGTTGTGGGACTAATAAGGGTCACTTAATAATAATAATAATTACAAGATCACATCTGGCCCCACAAGACTGAGGTGCAGCCTCTTAACTCAAACGACCAAAATCTATTTTACACTGAAATCGGTTTGATCAGTTGTCTTACCGTTCAAGAAGACAGCTCTGATGAGTTTGATGT